TTTCTCAATAAAGACACATTATAGGAACATAATTGTGAATTTAAAAAAAAATATATATATATTGTTAAATAAAATAATTAATAAGTTATTATTAATTTACATATAATATTATATATAGAGATATTAATATGTAATACTATATCTTAATATTATTAAAACTCTTTTTATTGATTCTTTACTCATATACAAAAAAGATATTTGCAAGAAATTTTTTATTTCTTTGCTAATAAAGTTTTAATGTTATTCTTAAATCAACTTGAAGTTTTACTTTAAGAGATACTTCTAAAATCTTTTTCTTGTTTATATTCATCTTCAAACAAAAACTTGACTTCTTGTAATCTAGAAAAGTCAAGAAATATCTTTTTTACCTATGGCAAGAAAGTTCTACAAGGAAAAAAAATTATAATATAGTACACAAAATCTTTCATATTGAAATATATTTATATAAATTTTATGCAGTGAAAAGTGATAAACATTAGATCATATTTTCAAAATATTTATTTACTATTTTTTTTTTCTTATAGTTACTATATATAAAATTTTTTGATTTTTTGAAAAATTTTGCTTATATCAGTTTAACTCTAAATTTTAGGTAATGTAATATATATGATTGGTGAATATAAAACATGTTAGTAGCTAAATATAAATAAGTATCCACTAGTTATCTTATATGTTTTGACAATATTATTGATAATAAAAAGAGTTGAATGATACTTCATTTTTATTCTATTTTTTTAATTAAATTAATCTATAGAACAAGTTTTATGAAATCAATAAGATATAAGTAATAAGTCTCCAGGTAATGAAAAAGTTGTTATTTGTTCAAGTTGAAATTTTTTTCTCTTATTATTTTATCAAACAAAGTTTAAGATCAAAATTACTTTCTTATCTTGATTAGATAATAAAACTAAATGATCTCTAGTTCATATTAAGTTTCAATTCTTTGATTACAATTAAGAATATATTTTTTTAGAAGTTGTTAAAAGATATTATAATCAATGAGGATTTCTATTACTTTTAAAACTTTTTTATTATTACAAGATAAAAAGATTGCTAGGTAATTTGATTTTTTGGGAAAAAAAAGATATTCATTAGTAAAATTTCTTTAACTAGATGTGACTACTGAAAGGTATTATATTAAAATAATATAGCTCAGTCCTTACTGGGTTACATAAGAATCTAGGATCCATTATAAGTTACCTTTCTATTACAGGTGGATAAAAAATCATTGCCTAAAATAAGTTGAGATCAAGCATATTCTAAAAGTAAAGATTTCTATTAGATAATAAATCTCTTCAGATAATATACAAGAAGAAAATTAAGATCAAAAAAAGATAAATTTCTCAGATGATCAAGAAAAGAAAGAATATTTTATTTAAACATTTCTTATTAAGAAGAAGTCTTAAAAAACAAGTTTTTGAAAGAAGCTAAAGAATTTTATTTTATTTTATTTTATTTTTTTACTTTCTTGTAAATCCATTTGAATATTTTTAGATATTACTTTTTTCCTTTTATCAATCCATCCTTTTGTAGTTTCCTGTATTCCAGCAACTTGATAGGACATTTGATAGTGACAACCTGCTAGTGATGAAGTGATGGATTAGGAGAGTATTTACTTAAAAACCATCATGAAACAAAATATTGCCAGACTTAGAAGCTATTATTGCTTATAATGAGTTTGTTAGATTTGATAGAAATGTGCAGTATGTGCAAAAATGTACTTACATAAAATTCACGTACGGAATGTTCGACTGTCTTGTTCGCGATTTTTTTTTAAAAAAATTTTTTTATTTGAATTTTTATATACAGTATATTTATTAAAAGAGTTATCATAATATTTTAATTTCCTTTCATACATCTTGGAATAATAAGTGTCACAAGGTAGTGAAATAGCGAGATGACCAATTATGAAGATAAACTCGATCAACTTCTGGCTCTTTTTGAGAGTGCCAACGAAGCTAAATTACGCGATTCTTTGCGTTGTGCAAAGGGCGATTTAGAACGTGCAGCTAACATTTATTTGGAGGAAACGGAAAAACGCTCAAGGAACAAACATTCATTAAAGCAATCAACACTGAAATTATTCTTTCATGACGCAAGTGTAGAAAATTCGGAAATTAGGCCACCATTAAATAAGAAGCGCCATTTAAATGATCATGAAAGCACAAGAGACAGTAGTGAAGGGCAAAATTTAACCGAAGAAAATGCAAAGAAACAAGATTTCGGAAAAACGACCAATTTAAATGAGATCTTAAAATGGCCTCCGTCGAGTGGTAAAACTTTAAAGGTCAAAGCCAGAAACATTAAACCGGTCTTGCAACTGTATCATCCGCACGATGTTTCTGAGAGAACCCCTTGCACGCTCATTCACGACGTGTTACCCAAAGATTTGGCAAATTCTCTACTAAAGGTTATGCTTAAAGAATCGGAAACGTGGCAACGCAATCAGTGGTGGTTATTCGAACGAATGGTTACTTCATCACACACATCATCTTTTTACACTTCTGCAGAAGTAGATAAGGTCTACGACGGAGAGGTGTATTATAATGGGAAGAGAACGGAAGGTACACAAGCATTTTCACCGGAAATGGAAATTGCAAGGAAGCATATCAAAGACATTGTAAATGAAAAACGTGATGATAGAGAAAGGTAGTTTTAATGCCAAAGTACTTTATTCTTAGATTTCGTAATATTTGCTCACTTTTCAAGTCTGAAAGGCATGAATTTGAGGTACAAGGGGATTGGAATCCTAACGTTGCGGTCGCGAATTGCTACTCAAATTCGAGAGGTAATATATAAACAGAATCATAAGTTCCTTAAATTTATGGAACGCGAATTTATTTCCGATTCCTTTTTTTTTTAATTGTATTTACAGAAAGTGTTGGCTGGCATAGTGATGAGGTAAGTTTTTTTTTTTTAAAAAAAAAAAAAAAAGGAAAATCGAAAAATCACAGCGTATCAAGCGAAATAACCATCACTATTGATTTCGTCTTCAGCTAACGTACCTCGGGCCACATCCCATCATAGGTTCCCTTTCGCTTGGGGCCACAAGGAAATTTCGTCTTCGTCAAGTTAATGAGAAATCACCAAGAATCATATCAATCTCTCTTCCCCATAATTCACTCTTGATAATGTGGCCACCCAGTCAGGAACTTTGGAAACACGAAGTATGTCCTCAAAGTGTGCTTGACCATTTGCATCCAATTGCCGGTTCAAAAAGGATAAATATCACTTTCAGGCAATTCAGAGAGGAGTACACTCATGAGTTGACACCGAAATGTTCATGTGGGATTCCTTGTATTTTGAAACCGGTAATGCGGTCAGGCCCAAACAATGGTCGGTATTTTTATATGTGTCATGCAGATGCAGCTAGAGAAGGTCAAAAATGCGGATTTTTTGAATGGTTGGATGTCTCTAAAAGACAAGATGATTACGAAAGAAAGAAATTGAACCTCCTTTAATAAAATAATCATAATGACAAACAAAATCTGTTTGATATTTTTATTTACATATAGAGATGTAAGATCATTTAGCATTTGAATAGCTAACATAATGAGTGAGTGAGAATAATTCTTTTCCCCTAGCACGAAAAATGACACTAGTTTTTCAACGATTTCAGAATCGAAATCTCTGTGAAAGGGTGTGACTTCATTTATTGCTCAAAAAAAAAAAAAAAAATGAAAAAAAAAGAGCCAATAAAAAAAAAAAAGGTTTAAAGTTCATTTTAACGGCATCATTACCTTGACACAAAACCAAACCACTTGAATTATATATAACCTTTTTGTTCCAAATTATATATCGGATATGGGCAAAAATGATCAAATGATGCAAATTTTGTATAAATCATGTGTTCTAGAACAAATATCATTAAAAAAATGAAATAAAAGCTTCTTCTTACTGCCCTATAATCAAGGTGCCATCCAATTTCAAGAAAAATTAGTCTCGCTTGGTCTAGTGATCATTCATTTTTGGAGGTATATGTGAAAGAAAAAAAACATTCCGTCTCAGTCACTGCCTGCATAACTAATTTCGGTCAAAGATATGTTTACCACGTTGCTGAAACTGTGTCATGGGTTTACCGCTCCCGACCACGCCGACTGAATTGCGTAAATAAATTTTAATGCGTATTTCTCGAAATCATTGCGCAATGATGAATTACCTTTTCCTTCCGGATTCTCCGGTGTGGCGAAAATACTTCTCTTGTTGATAGGCGGTTGAACCAGCCTCTTCGTTTTCGTCGTCTTCTTTCCGGGAGCCACGGAAGGACCGCTTGCAAAAGCTAACCAGGTCTTTTGTTTTGCGACCTGTTCGTTCACTTTCTTTTGACCATCGCCGGCTTTCTTTTTTTTATGATCCTTCTCTTTTTCCTTCTTATCAATTGAAATCTTCCTTTTGTTTTTTTCAAGGGGTTTTATATCTTGGACGTTAACAAGCTCAACGTTATTAAAACCTTTAAAAACTACTGAAAAGACTTGATCACCACCACCTATGGCAGTTATCTGAGCTGGATAAAATGATCCGTCTCCCGACCAGCGTGCCAAACAATTGTCCCCTACTTGAAGAGGTTTTGAAAAACTTGTTATCGTGGCCGAAATTGGAGTGGTTGGCGTTGAATTTGCTTTGGGAGAAGAATGTGTTGACTTTTTAATGGTTTGTGAAACTTCTTGTTCAATTATAGCCGAGGTAAGATTTATAAGTTCTGTAAGATCGGTTTTAAGTTTTAAGAGTTCAGAATTCTCCGGCTCATTTTTCAGTGCAAGATTAACTTGATCAAGTTGATATTTATACTGTGCAATCTCATCGACATTCATGGCGTAATTCGTTTATTTGGTGAGGTTCCTCTCGCGGATAGAATTTGACACGTAGAAATATTCCTTTGCGTATGTTGTGCGTTATGTAAAAATCGAATGGACTTTTGCGCCAATCGTCTTTGCGCAACGTTTGCCCTATCATCCAATCAGAATAGTCGTTTATACCATATCATTATTTTTTTTTTTTCTATTATATTTTTTAAAATTGAACAAATATTATAAAATCACTTGATTAAACTATTTATTTTTTTTTTTTTCTTCTCTTTTATTTATTTATTTTTTTAAAAAATTTTTCGACTTGATTTTTTTGAAACTTGTTTTAATTGATTTTATTTTATTAAATTTTTTCTATATTTTTTTATTTTTTTTATAGTTTATAATTATATCACGATGGCTTGTTTTTATTGAGAAATTAAAATAAAATCTATAATAGTTTACAGACTTTCACAAAGTAAATAACTCATCTTCATATATACTGTAAGTACATTAAGTCAAATTTCAAGAATAATATTATATTCTTCTAATAGATTAATAATAATTTCTATTTATCAGAATTATTTTCAACAGTTTGCTACTATTGATTAATCCAAAAATCAATGAATTATTAAATTAAAAAAGAAAAAGAGAAAAATCAATTAAAAAAAAAAACAATTTAAGGTTCATTAAAAAAGTTCAAAAATAATAATAATCTTTTTTCAAAAGAGATTTACTTGATTAGAATAGTTTTTTTGCTTCACTTGAACCTTGAAAGAAATCTTTTTTTTCATTATTTGTAGTATTGATCAAGTCAATTCAACTAATTTTTTATTTAAGTGAGTATTAGTTTGGGATACCTCAAGAAAAGTATTTAGATCTTAGCTTTTTTTTATTAAAACTTTAACACTATTTGAAAAATTTAAATAAGAGATAAAAATTTGTAATTAATATTAACCTTTATTTAGTTTTTTGATATCATGAAAGTATTTATTAAAGAACTTGAGTTTTTGAGACAAACATGTCTAAAACATTCTTTTCAATTACCAATAATATCATTAAAATATATGAATATAATCATAGAAGCTTATTTACATTTAAAAAACTAATATGTTTTATATCAGCCAATCATATTTAATGAGAATTTGTGTTATTCAAAATTCAGGATCAAACTAAAATAAGTAAAATTCTTTAAAAAATTGTCAAATGAAAGCCCTAAGAGAGCCAAAACAATTAAAAAAGAAGAAAATAAGTCTTTTTACTATAGAAAATCTCTATAAATTTCTTACTTTAAAAATTCAACAAGTTTTTAGATACTTTATAATTAATTCTTCTTCCTTTAGAAACTTTTTTATAATTGGTAACAAGGTGTTACTTGACTTTTTTTGATCATAGAAATCAAGTTTTTGAGTAAAAAAATTTATAAACAAAAGAGAAAAGATAAAAATAACTCTTGAAATTATATTTCAAATTATTTAAGGAAAATATCAAAACTTTATTAGCAAAAAAATGTAAAAACTTTTTGTAAACATCTTTTTTGTATATAGTCAAAGAATCAGTGAAAAAAGTTTTCTTTTTTTATTTTAAATTTTTAATTACTATTCAAATTTTATTTATTTATACACTTTTTTTAATTTGTTTTTTATCTTTTTTTTTGATTTTTTTTTTTAACCCACAATCATGTCATGATGGCTTGTTTTTATTAAGAAATTAAAGTAAATCTACAATAATTTGCAGACTTTTATAAAGTGACTAATTTATTTTTATATATATGTACTCTAAGTCAGATTTTAGGAACAATATTGCACTCTCTAATAAATAGTATTAACCTCTATTTACTAGGATCATTGCCAACAATTTGTTACTGTTGATTACTTGAAAATCAATAAATTACTAAGTTAAAAGAGAAAAAGTAAAAATAATTGAAAAAAGGAAACAATTTAAGATCCACCAAAAAAATCCAAAAATAAAAACAACCTTTTCTCAAAAAAGATCTACCTTAATTAAAATAGTATTCTTGCTTTGCTTGAACCTCAAAAAAAATCTTCTTTTTACCATCTGTAATATCAGATAAGTCAATATAACTAGTTTTTCATTTAAGTAAGTACTGGATTGGAAAAGTATTTAAACCTCAGCTTTTTTCTATTAAAACTTTGTCATCACTTGAGGAACTTACTGTAAGTAAAGGATAGAAGTTTGCAATCTACATTATCCATCACTTGATCTTTGGAAGTTTTCATTAAGGAACTTGAACTTTTGAAGGCAAACATTTTCAGAACCTTCTTTTTAATATTCAATAATATTATCAGAACATGTGAATATGCCCAATAGGAGCTCATTTATATTTCAACAACCAACATGTTTTATGTTAACTAATCACCTTTGGTGAGAACTTGTGCTATCCAAAATTCAGGGTCAAATTGAGATAAGCAAAATTTCTTAGAAAACCATGAAAGTGGAAGTTCTAAGAGGGTTAAAACAGTCAAAAAGAAAGAAAATAAGCCTTTTTATTGTAAAAAATCTTTATAAACCTCTCATTTCAAAGGTCAGATAAACCGTCAAGTACTTTATAGTCAGTTTTTTTTTGGGGGGACCTTTCTTGTTATTGATATCAAAGGTATTACTTGACTTTTTTTAATCACTAGGAGTCAAGTTTTTGAGTGAAAAGGTTTGTAAACAAGAGGAGAAGGATAGAGGTAACTCTTGAAATTATACTTTAAGTTATTTTAAGAAAAGTATTAAAACTTTATTAGTAAAGAAGTATAAAAACTTCTTGCAAACATCTTTTTTGTGTATGGTTAGAGAATTAACTGAAAGAGTTTTTTATTTGTTTATTTTTTGAATATATTAATACTTTTTTATATTAAATAATTTTTTGATTTTAATATTTAACCTTTAAAGCAAGAGGTATATAGAGGTTTTTGATAATATAAGGGTTTATTTTTCTCCTTCCAATTACTTGTGGGTATCTTAGAGCTATCACTTTTATGGTTTTCTGAGAAAATTGCCTATCTCAGTTTGATCCTGAATTTTTGATAGCATAAATTCTTATCAAAAGTGATTTGCTAACATAAAATATGTTAGTTTTTAGAATATAAACAAGCTTCTATTGGTCACATTCACATATTCTGATGATGTCATTGATAATTGGAAAGAAGGTTTCGAAAATGTTTGCTCTCAAAAAGCTCAAGTCTCTTAATGAAAACTTCCATGACATCAAAAGACCAAGTAATGGATAATGTGAATTGCAAACTTCTATCTCTTACTTAAGTTTCACAAGTAGTGTCAAAGCTTTAATGGAAAAAAGCTGAGGTCTAAATGCTTTCTTTGAGATATTTCAATCTGGTGCTCACTTAAATAAAAGAATAGTTGGATTGACTCATCCGATATTGCAAGTGATGAAAAAAAAGATTTTTTCCAAGATTCAAGTAAAACAAGAAGACTATTCCAGTCAGGTAGATCCCTTTTGAGAAGAGGTTGTTTTTATTTTTAGATTTTTTTGGTGAATCTTGAATATTTTCCTTTCCCCAATTATTTTTCCCCTTTTTCTTTTTTAACTTAGCAATTCATTGGTTTTCAGGCAATCAACAATGACAAACTGTTAGTAATAATTCTGATAGATAGAGATTATTATCAATCTATTAGGGAAGTGAAATATTATTCTCAAAATCTAACTTAAAGTACTTTTGTATAAAGACAAGTTAGGCACTTTGTAAAAGTCTATAAAATATTATAAATTCATTTCAATTTTTCAATAAAGACATGTCATTGTGACATGATTGCGGGTTAAAAAATAATAATAATAATAATAATTTTTTGGTTTTAAATTTAACTATCAATTCTTTACTTGTTTTTCATAGTTTAAAATCCTTTTCAAGCTATATATTCAATTTAACAAGTTTTTGAATAATATTGTATTATGATAATTATCACAATATTATTTATGAATTAGCTAAAATACTTAAATTAATTTTATTAAAATTAATACTTGAAGATAATATAAATACAATATATTATTTATTTAATTAACTATATACTTTTATAAGATATTAAAATATGAGATTATAGATTTTATTAATAAAAAACTTTTTCCTCAAATCCTTAAGATCCTTAGAAATTTTCTTTTTAGACAATTTAATCAAAGAAAGAGAAACATCTTTATTCAAGACATATATTCTTGCAATACCAGCATACAACAGTCATTTTAGCACAAAACAATATTTTGTGTATAGCTCTAGAGTAATAGATTGTTGAAAAATATATACATACAACAACAACTTTGGCTTTTCTCTTTTTTAAGAAGAAGGAAGAAAACCAACATAAATTAATTCACAGTCAGAAAAGGGGAGCCAATATAAACTTCATAGAGCTTGCAACAAGGCCAGTGCAGGTTGACACCTTTCTTGACACTACAAGGAATCTCAAAACAAATAAGTTTGCTTAATAAATCAAGCAAACCTCAAATTCTTCAAGACCCAGAAGGACATCAAAGCTCCCTAAGGTCTAAACAGCCTAACATGCATATCCTATCTCCACACATATCAAAACATATCACTACAGTAGCGTGAACACATACATGTGTATAAAGCTATTGTCAAAACAAGTTCAACAAAAGTTCAATACAACAGCACAACAAGTGCGACTTAAATTGGTAAGATCATCAAATACAATCATCACAATAGAAAGTGATCAATGTAAATAGAGTGTCAGAGGTCTGTAAAAAATATAACAAAGTCAGTGTAAACAGGTAAACAATCTAGGCAAAAAAGGAAAACCAATATGTGCCTAATCAAAACAAGATTAAAACACATACAAAAACAAGGTTATAGTTAAAAACAACAAGCATTACATGTAAAAACTTATCAACAATTACTAGAATAGTACTAAGGACATATATTAATCTGCGCATGTGACTATTTATAATACAATACAATAATATGATAATAATATCAATCCACACATATATCTTATCATGAATAAAGCAAAACTGATACTTCCGATAGTAAACAATAGAGAAAATGATATTA